GTGTGTGTGTGTGTGTGTGTGTGTGTGTGTGTGTGTGTGTGTGTGTGTGAGGTCCTGTGCTAAACAGACTCCGCCCTGCCAACTCCCCCCGTGACTTTGCTATACCCTCTTTAGATACCCCAGCCCATCAGGACCTCTTAGCTTACCTCTCTCTACCCTCCATAGAGTGACAGTTGTTTTTTGTTCTTGTTCTTGTTTTTGTTTTTGCTTTTCCAAGCCTTCCCAAGTCTGATTATGAGGGGAAAACACAGACTCAACAGGAGGAAATGAGTTCCAAGAGTGTTGCCAGTTAAGCTGGTAACAACTTCTCTTGGTCTGAGTTTCTCCACGTGAGTTGGGCGCCTATCCCAGGCTTGTTGGAAATTAAACACGATCATGCACAAGTGCCCCAACACGAGGCCTCCCAGATATGCTGGCTCCCAGCCCCAGGAGAGGCTCCTTAAGCCCAGTTCCCCGTCTTCCTGCCCTCCATATGGCACGTGGTTGCCTCCTTCACCACAGAGCTGACAGCTGGGTCCCACTCTTCCTCTTGTATTCTTCCTCCAGCTCCTCCCACATCTTGAATATGACGTCCTGTGTCCCGTCTTTTCTCTGTCTCAGTCCTCACTCTGCGTTGCACCCTCTGCCCCAAGATGCACATCCACGTCCTCATCCCCCATCCCCTTTTCTTGCTGCTTCTTTTTGAAAAGAACTTCTCCCACCGACTTTGTTTCATTGTCATCCGCAAGATGACTCCAAGGGTCCTCTCTGCTCGTCCTCTGCACTCCCCTCACCGGCTGCATCCAGCCGCCATCCCCCTTTGATGCCCAGCCCTTTATAACAGGTGTCACCATCATGGTTGTCACCAGCTTCTTTACCTGTTCTACGCCAAGTACTTCCAACCCACAGAAAAGAAAGGTACAATCTACAATCCCATTGAAAAGTGCCTGATTCCAACCCGCTGAAGGCAGCTTTGGGGAGGAGAGTTTAGGTTGCAAGGCCTAAACCAGCTGCAAGGTAGAGGATGCCTGGGAACGGTGGGGTCACCAGGGGCTTGCGGTGTGGGGCAGAGAGAAAATGCCCAGCTCAGATCCAACAGGTGAGCCTAGCCCTCCTGGGCCTGCCTGCCACCTAGGACCTCTCCTCCCCCAAGAGTCTCCTAGGGGGGCTTTTGTATTTTCTGTCCTTGCCATCCACTCCTACCCGGACAGTGACAGATGCAGACAGAGGCTGGAACACAGACCAGAGGGAGCTTGGGTGCAGAGAGAAGATGCAGAGACTCAGATGCCTGGAGCAATAAAGAGCCACCCAGGGACGGAGGATGAACGTCCTGGGCACTAATGGTGGTATATCATTTCACCCTCAGCAACTGTGATCAGGGAGGACGGGGCACCGGGCCCATATTCCAGATGAAGAAACAGGCTCAGAGAGGTTGCCAGGGCCACGTCACTGGGGCATGGCTGAACTGAGCATCAAGTCACAACCTGCTAGATTCCTGGGCACAAGGCCTTTCTGTGACCACCATGGAGAGACACACACAGAGACGCTGTCTCCATACTGCTTCTCTAATGACTCAGTGTGTGCAGAGAAGGGAAAACCGTCATGCAGAGCAAGGGAGGGACACACACAGGGGGGAGACACAGGGAGAAAGGCAGACAGAGATAAATAGGGAGAAAAGGGACACAGATAAATAGGGAGACAGGAAGACAATGACATAAGGAGAAGGGAAAATTAGCTGCTTCTCTCTCCGTATGGGAATGGATTTGGGATAAAATACACATTCCGGGTCTCACCCCCTGATCTTCAGAATCAGAATTTCTGGGAGTGGGACCCAGGAATCTACATTTAAAGAAAGCTCCTCGGAGTAGCAAAGTGTGCTTTGAAATGCATCAGATAAATGGGATAGATTTGTGGACGGCTAGAGGGAGGGATAGATGGAAAATTCGCAGTAAAGCAAATACAGCAAAATGTTAACCGAGGAATCTAGAAAGTGGGTAACACTGTCCACTGCACAATTGTTTTAACTTTCTGTATGTTTGAAAACTTTCATAATAACGTGCTGAGTGTGTGGAAGTTCCTGAATGATCCTGATGATTAGGCAGGTCTGGGACCACTGCAGTAGGAGGGAAGGCATCCTCAGAGGACTTCTAGGGAAGCTGTTGCCCTGAGAAGGCCCCCTGCACTCCCCAGCCATGTCACCTCCATCCCCCGCCCCCAGTCTGACCAGTCCCACAGCAATCCCAGAACTCACAGGAGCACTGCACAAGGCCCTGCCCTTCTCCCTGGTCCCCTAGGGCCTCCTGTTCTGCACGGTGAGCAGGATTTTCTGGGTTGTCTGAGGCTGGTCTCTGCAGGGCCCTGGTAGCAATCCGATCTGGCTGGCGGGCAGTGCGGGTTTGGGCAGAGCTTGGAGAGGCAGGGCTAGAAGTTCCCTTGGAAAAACTTGAAGCCAAACTGCTTACAATGGTCCTTGAGCACCTTGGCCAGAGCTGGGAAGCCACAGAAGAAGACCTGCACCTTGCCCTTCTTCTCAGTGGCTAACTTCTGGAACACCTGGACTGCACAGGGTCGGGGGAGAGCAGAGGGAGAAGAGGGGGGACCGTGGACCCGCCCAGTGACACACCCAGTGGAGCCGAAGATGTAATGGGCCAGGATGGCTGTCCTCCCCATGAGGAGCCCCAGGGCACAGCTGCTTGGCTTCAGCCATTAGTTTAGGGGCCGTTTGCTCAGTGAGTAACCTGACTCCGACCCCAGGGAGGGGCTGGACCAGAAAGAAATAAGACCCAGGCCCTTGGTTCAAGGAGCTGCATCCATGGGGGAGATGTGCACTAAACCAGCTGCAGTGCTGTAGGGCGATGGCAGAGCCCAGAGGGTACACTGACCTCCAAAGCCCCAATCTCATGCCAGCCCACGGGCCTCCATCAAAATGCCGCTTTCCTGAAGTCAGGCTTTCTCCCCCAGCAAGGAGCCTTTTCCACCCCAAGTTCTGCTTAAGAATTGCCTTTGCCTAAAGTTCTCTTGGTGCCGAAGCCCCGCTGGCACCCCGTTCCCCCTGGGCTCTCACTATCTAAACATGGATCATCTATAGCAGTTTGAAAAGCAATACCTTCTGCTCACTTCAGGCAAACTCTGCACCCCAACTGGTAAGTGCTCAGGGAGGAAAAATAATAATAAAACCAATCTGAGGAATAAAATAGAAAGACTGCAAACTATTCTGTGGCTCTGGGCCTCAGTTTCCCTGTTTGTACCAGGAAGGGATAAGACTTGATGCCTCCCTGGGACTCTGTCTACATGGGCCTTCAGACTCTGGTTTGCAGGGGGTCAGGGCTGGGAGAGGCCTTGGAGGTTATATGGGCTAACTTCCTCTGTGATCAGATGGGGAAACAGAGGCTAGGGGTGGAACAAACGGTGCTAGTGATGGAGCCAGGATGTAGGTCCCCTGCCTCCCGTTCCAGCCCTGAGATCCTGGCTGGACTCGGATGCTGGCCTCAATCTTTGCCCCTGCTTGCTTGGCCCTAATCTCCCCAGTCACTGCCTCAGGCTCGCAGACCCACTAGTCCCTGCAGGCTTTAGGGCTCCAGGTGGCCTTTACCTCGTTCCAATCTGGCCGTCCAGGCTGGCTGTGTGTCTGGAGGCCCGTGATGGAATCCTTCTTCTCCTTCTTGGCCTGGAGGTCAAGGGCCATCTGCAAACCAATGGCCTTCATGTCATTCTTGCCCAGCACGGAGGTCATATACATGCGCAGCTCCAGGAAACGGCCTACGTGGGGGAGGAGAGGGCAGGGTTGAGGGGCCAGCACCCATGATGGGGACAGGGCAGGATGCCAGCCACCTTGTCCTGGGGCTTGACGGAGGACTCACACTGTCGGCCAACCATATTCACCCAGTACCTTCATTTGACCAGCGCTGTAGAGAGGAAAGATGGCTCTCTTGAGCCGCTCGAGCTGGGTAGGCCCTGTGCACCGCATAGACGAGTTATCGTACAGCCATTGTCTAATGTAAGTCTCACAACCACCCCAGGAGCTGGACCTTATATTTACAGAAGGTAAATGAATCCCAGGGCAGCGTGGCTGTCCTTGGTCTCTGAACTCATGCCCTTCTGTGCCTCATGGTGTCTGCTCAGCCTAGTTGGGGACACAAGCCACGCACACATGGAAAGACCACTGAGACCAGAGAGTCAAGGGTTGAGTGAGTGGATCAGATGGCAAATGCTACTGATATACAGGGCAGGCTGGAGCACACACAGCCGCTTCCTGGGACGGTGGGGATTGGGCGAGGTCTTGGAAGAGGGCTGAGACTCAAAGGGGAGGTGAAGGAAGCACCCTAAGAAGGGAGTAGCATGAGACAAAGGTGGGAGGCTGGAGTTTGTGGGGCATGATGTGACTGCCCGGCTGGAGCAGAGCATCCTTGAATGGGTGCAACAGTGGGTAGGACTGGATACACAGTGAGGCCAGAATGTGAAGAATCTGGAATGCCCAGCTAGGGAATGGGGGCAGAGAGGGGGTACTGGAGCAAGGCATGATGAGATGAAAAGAGCATTTCAGGGAGGGGAGTCAGAGGACTGAAGGGACAGGGCAGAGACTGGCATCTAGGAGACCCATTAGGCCTGAGCATCCACAGCTCTGTGTCTGCAATGGGACAGGTTTGTGAGATACTGATCCCGCCAGCTCTAGGGCAATCGGTACATCCAGGTGGGCACCCCTGTGCTCAAGCAGTTTCCTCCATTCTCCCAGAGGTGGCAAACAAATGTCATTTTCCTGGTGTGCCATGATGGGGAGAAGACTGACCGGGGCTGCCCCACACCCCTGCCACAATGCACGCCAGAAACGGCGGGGCCTGATCTACCACGTTGGATTCACGAGCTGACAATCCTTTATCCTTAAAGGATTCTCTCTCCCTAAAGGATTCAGGCCAGCCCAGCTTGTTCTCTATTGTTTCATACGCCACGATTAGCCCACTTTTCCTTTGGCTCAAGATCTCAGCCATTGTTAAAATGCAAATGGCCCTAGGAGGGACACCACATTTCATTTCACACATCACTGAACTTCAGTAGCGTGGTGGTGCAGGAGGGAAGAAGATGTACCGTAAGGGCTGCCCACCTGAGACAGCCCTGGCCCTTCTTCCTCAGAGTCACTGCCCCCCCCCCCATTCCCCCACACAGGGGTAAGAAAGGAGAGAATGAGACATCAGAGCGGGAGGGAGGAGGAGGCGCTGTGGAGGTTTTCGCTCTCTCCAAGACAGCGTGTTCCAGACAGTCCTCCCATTTCTGGGACACTCTCTTAAGGAAATCATCCAAAGGAAGGGGAAAACAAAACTATGTGCTCATGCATATTAATTGCAGCTTTATTTATGATAGTGGAGAATTAGGAATAAACAAAATGTCCAGTAGTAGGGGCATGGTTAAATAATTTACGGCAAACCACCGTATCCTTCATTACATAGCCATTAAATACTACTAGTACTGGTACTACTATTACTACTAAATTTATGGAGCAATTACTACTACTACTATTACTACTTCTGCTACTACTATTAAATTTATTGAGCAGTTACTACTACTACCATTACTACCACCTCTACTACTATTAGTACGACTTCTGCTACTGGTAAATTGACTGAGCAGTTATTAAACTCCAGCCCTTGTTCTAAGTGCTGTACAGGTGATCTCTCACCCAATCCTCACAGCAATCCTATGAGGTAGGTACTTAGTAGTATCCATATTTTTCAGATGAGGAGATAGAGGCAAAGCAATGTGCCCAAGGTTCTATAGCTATATGGGATATAGTAAAAGACTCAACTCAAACAGCACAATTGAAGCTTCAGCTATAGAAATTAAAAATTATAAACCACAAATTCTTTGACTCAGACCTCGGTATATGATTAAAGTTGAAATCAGAGGCCACGTGCTTCAGCTGCAATGAGAAACCTTGGAAGAAATGTGAGGTAACAAAGTTGTTGACTCAAGTGGCTTTGAGAATGCAAAGCAGTGGGTTAGCTGTTACCCTTTGCTTACACAGATTAGGAAGAAGCAAACAGCAAATATTTATATACCAGTAACTAGAAAATGTAAATTAAATCTAAACTTCTCCCTTAGGCTGTCATCATAAAAGCAAGTTTCTTATGAATTAATATACTTAAAAGCATTTAGAACAAAGTCAATGCTATATAAATATTTGCTTTAATTGTTATTTACAAGAAAGGGCAAGAAGCTTTACTACAATATTCTAGGGTTTATTTGTTCTCTTCCAAAGACTGTTGACTGGTGCTTTAAGGCTTTGGATGTTTCTTATAGTAAACTATATGTGTTTGAATGTTTTTTGTAGAAAACTGTGTCTGATTACTTGAACTTATAAACTATGTTTAGCATAGGAATTTGAATTTATTCATGGCAACCTCGTGATAATTAACCAGCCAAATAAGATCTAGTTCCAGTGGACTCCACACTGTAAAAAAAACGTCACCAATTCTCTTGAAGTTAGAAACATATCTAGAGATATTCCTCCTTATCTAAGATCTTCCGTAAGTAAAACATAACAAAACAAAATAATAACTAACAGATTAACTTTACACATAGTACAAAACCTCAGTATTCCACAAAGATGTCCCATGAGGACTATTAAATAACCCAGAGAAACATGTTATCATGCAATGCTTAGTAAAAAAATGTACGATACAACACTTGCTGGGCGGGGAGGGGAGACTGCAGGGACTGGGGGGAGGACATTTAAACATTCCAATTTAATGAACACATAAAAGAAGGGACCATCAGCAAAAGAATTCGTACGTGCCAAGCCGTATAATTTTTATCTTAGACCACTTTCTAAATTTTTTGATTTATTGGGAAACATATTGAGCACACACCCCCAGTAAATATATATGTTTGTTCACATGTTCGTTTCTACTTACAGATTACGTCTATTAAAATTTTATGCTTGAGTAAAAGGAACCATATTACTCTCTCACCTTGAACAACTAGAAAAATAAGCAAGATATATAAAACAATGGTTTCCAGACATTGGTCAACAGGTCATGTAGGACTGTCATTACTGAGGGAGGAAACACTGAAGTGAGCCTTACAATTGCCTGGTGTTGGCCTCACTGAATTGAGGAGACAGAAATTGGAGATCAGGGAGCCAGGACAGCTAGAACGTGCCAGGCACAAAACTAGAATAAGGGCAACTGCAGAGAGGAAGAGAGACCGAAGGAAGAAGAGAAAGAGGAAGGGAGGATGAGGGCTCACTAGCTCTGGAAATCTGCATAAAGTTCCCCCTCAGTCTTTGGCTTAGTGTTAATCTGTACACTTGTGAAAGAAAATTACCAGAAAACATGAGGCTTCACAGTACCTGGAGCTCAAACAGAGCTGGCAATAGTTTGTGTTCCACCATCAAGAGTGCAGACACCTTCTAATATATAAGGCAGTAGGATGAGTCCTCAGAGGTGCAGCACCTTAGCCCTGAGGCTGAATTAGCCCCACAATAAAGGCTGTTCTGGACTCATCCTAACAAAAGTTAAAAGCAAGTCTTGAAAGTATCCAAACCATCCTAAACAATGTCACTGTGCACCAGAGCAAAGTACAGTACTATTAAAGAAATACCACAAAATCCAGACCACAACATGCAATTCACAGTACCTGCTGTCCAGTAAACAATTATCAAGCACGTAAAGAAACAGGAACATATGACCCATAACTAGGAGAAAATTAGTCATTAGAAACAGACCCAGAAATGACAGAGATGATGGACTTAGACAAAGATGTTAGAGCAAATATTATAAATGTGCTTGAGAATGTAAAAACAAAACAAAGCAGCTATGATGAGAAGAGGAATGGAAGACATAAAAGATACCCAAATGGAACTTCTAGAGAAGAACAACACAATAAGAGAAATGAAAAATACAATGGATAGGATTAATAGCTGTTCTAGGTGCTTTGGGTTTTCCCTATAAATTTTAGAATAAGCTTCTTGATATCTATTTTTAAAAACCTGCTGGGACTTTTGTTAGGATAGGAAGGATTGATAAGTTGCTGCAGAAGAAAAGATGAGTGAACTTGAAGACATAGCAATAGAAACTATCTGGTACGAGGCACAGATTGAGAGGAAAAAACAACAACAACCCTACTCACAATAACCTGTGAGTATCAAACAGTCTAAGATCTGTGTAACTGAAGTGACAGGAAGGAGAAGGGGAGACAGAAAAAAAAATATGTAAAGAAAGAATGGCTGAAATTTCTCCAAATTTGATAGAAACTCTAAGCCCAGATGTCCAAGAAGTTCAATGAACTTCAAGTACAAGAAATACACAAAAACTGTTTCTCAGAAATGTTTTGTAGTTTTTAGTATACAGATCTTGCCCATATTTTGCTAAATTTATCCTTAAGTATTTCATGGTTCTTAAAATTCTATTTAAAGATTTTCAAATACTAATTATTTGTTGTTTGTAAATAGAAATAGAATTGACTTTTGCATATTCACCTTATAACCTGGACCTTGTTGAACTCACTATGAGACTGATCTAAATAAAGAGCTAAAACTATAAAACTTCTGGGAGAAAACCTAAGAGTAAATACTCATGACTTTGGGTGAGGCAAAGGTTTTAGTTAGGACACAAAAAGCATGAAGAATAAGAGAAAGAAACCTGATAAATGGGACATCATTAAAATTTCAAACTTTTGTTCCTCAAAAGACAGTTTAAGTAAATGAAAAGACAAACCACAGACTGGGAGAATATATTTATAAAATGTACACCTGGTAATGGACCTGTTTCCATAATATATGAAGAACTCTTACAATTTAATAAAAAGAAGAAAAATATCTGGATTTAAAGAGCAGACAAAATATTTGAACAGACACTTTACAAAGAAGGCATACAAACAGCAAATAAGACCATGAAAATACCTTCAGCATCATAATTAATTAGGGAACTGCAAATTAAGAGCATATCGAGATATCCCTATACACCTACTAGCATGGTTGAAATTAAAAAGACTGCCAACATCAAGCGTTGATGACTTGGTGCTTTGTGACCACCTAGAGGGGTGGGATAGGGAGGATGGGAGGGAGGCTCAAGAGGGAGGGGATATGGGGATATATGTACATGTATAACTGATTCACTTTGTTATATAGCAGAAGCTAACGCACCATTGTAAAGCAATTACACTCCAATAAAGGTGTAAAGAAAAATATGTTGATGAGGTTGTGGAGCAACTGGAACTCCACTGCTGATGGAAATACAAAGTGGTACAGTCATTTGGGAAAAATAATTTGACAGTTTATAAAACTTAGCACATACCATACTACCCGGCAATCCCAATTCTAAGTATTTACCCAAGAGAAGAGGAAACATATGTCCACACAGAGACTTTCATAGTCAAAAATGGCTAAAAAGTGGAAATAACTCTAACATCCATCAGCAACTGAGTGGGAAAAGATTGTGGTATATCCAGAAAATGGAACACTTCTCAGCAACAAAAAGGAATTAACTACTTACTTTAATTTAACATGCAACAGCATGGATAAATCTCAAAGGTATTATGTTTAGTGAAAGATGTTAGAAAAGACTACATACATATTATATGATTGCATTTTTATGAAATTCTAGAAAAGGAAAAACTATAGTGATCAAAAGCAGATCAGAGGTTGCCAGGAGCTGCAAGTGGAGAGAGGGTATTGATGCAAAGTGAGATGAGGGAGCTTTTGGGGGTAATAGAAATGTCCCATGTTTTGATTATGGTGATGGTTATACAACTGGACACACTTGTCAAAATGCCATTGTCTTTACTGGACACTTAAATTGATGAATTTTATTGTATGTAAATTATCCCTCAAAAAAACTTTTAAAAAAAAGTGTGAATACAAATCGTCTGAGAATCGTCTTAAAATGTACCTTCCCAGGCCCTATTCCCACACAATCCGACTTGGAAGGTCTGGAATGAGGCCTGGTAATCTAACTTTTTAATAAGTGCTCATTTTGAATAAAAAGAAATGCCATAAAAAAGAGAAATGGGGTGGGGGAGGCTATACATTTTTTTTTTTTTTTGCGGTACGCAGGCCTCTCACTGTTGTGGCCTCTCCCGTTGTGGAGCACAGGCTCCGGACGCACAGGTTCAGCAGCCATGGCTCACGGGCCCAGCTGCTCCATGGCATGTGGGATCCTCCCGGACCGGGGCACGAACCCATGTCCCCTGCATCGGCAGGCGGACTCTCAACCACTGCGCCACCAGGAAGCCCCAAGGCTATACATTTTTATAAAATGTGAATAAGAAAAAATATCAGAAGGAAATCCTTTAAAATGCCTGGATACCTAGATGGGATTATGAATATTTTTTCTCTTCTCTCTTTTAAGTTTCACAAAATATTACATTTTATTGGGGGAAAAAAGCAGCCCCCTCTCCCCCACATTTTTTTTTTTTTTTTTTTTTTTGGGTACCCAGGCCTCTCCCTTTTTTGGCCTCTCCCGTTGCAGAGCACAGGCTCCGGACGCGCAGGCTCAGCGGCCATGGCTCACGGGCCTAGCCGCTCCGCGGCATGTGGGATCTTCCCGGACCGGGGCACGAACCCGTGTCCCCTGCATCGGCAGGCGGACTTTCAACCACTATGCCACCAGGGAATCCCCTCCCCCACATTTTTGATAGAATAATCTAAACACTTTCTTAAAGAGACCCTGAACCCCGCTGCCCCACCTCCATCATCCTCAGGCCCCGCTCCTCTCCTACCCTCCTGAGTCTCCTCGGCCTGGTCCACCTCCACTCTGGTCAGACTCACAAACCACTCGAAAGACCGCTAGTCTCGGTTGATCCAGATGAAGTCCACCTACGGAGAAGGGTCCAGTTCAGAGGGGGCCTACCTCATTCACTCATATCTGTGATCCCCAGGGCCCTGGTGTAACCACCCTGCTGTGAGCAGGGCACACGTTATCGCCCCCATTTAAGGGAGGGGGAGACCGAGGCTCACAGAGGTGAGGAACATTGCCCAGGCCACAGAGCAGCATAGGATCAGAACTCGGGGTCCTGACAACCAGGTCAGGATTTTCTCTAATAATCTATTGTTTACAGCGAGCAGTATTCTGAGATCTTAAGTTTAGGACAGCCAGAAAAACATTACTTCATTATTTTTTTTTAGAAACTCTTTGAAGTGGCCTACACAGAATAATAAATTTTCAAACGGCAAACGTTTTCATTTTTAAAACCACTGTCAGGTCACGGCTAGCAAGCATCATGGCTGTAACTGAATCCCGGCTGCCTGACTTTCAGGCTCCGTGTTCTTTAACGAGATGCCGGCCTTTAGGGCCCAGAATGTCTCTCTGGGGGAGCCCTGAACACAGAGACCAATGGATCCAAGCCGGGGAGAGGTCATCTCTCCCTCCCCTGCCTCTGCACAGGGGGCACGTAGCTCTGGTGTCTGGGGAGCTCCCCAGTCCTTCCTGCAGGAGGCGGTGCTCACTCACCCTGTGGAGCTTCACGTCAGCATCCTGCACACACACCCTCCCTCCCGGAGCGCTGGCAGTGGGGGCAGATGTGCGTTCTCTTCTGGTGCCTGAGGGGAGAAGAGAGGAGGGGCTCTTGAGTTTGGGGTGAGTATGAGATTTCTCAGGACCCCAGAGAACAGTGCAGGGCACAGGGAGGGAGGTGGGGTGGCAGGGCCCACCCCATGAGGAGGGGGAGGGGTGAGACCCGAAAAAGAGCAGGAGAGGAAAGAGAGAAAAGGGGAGAGGGAGCCAGGTGAAAGGAGGGAGAAGGCAGGGTGGGGAGGGGAGGCTGTCTCTCAGGACTCTGCCCCGGGATGCAGGCAGGGCCACAGCCTGTCCACCTACCTGTACAAGATGCTCTGCAGGATGGAAGCAAAGGGGGTGATGCCGACGCCTGCCCCGATGAGCACAGCAGGCTCGGAGGCGAAGATCCTGCGGTTGGGGGTCCTGTAAGGGCCATCGATGTAGCACTGCATGCAGGAGGGGTTAGAGGAAAGACAGGATGGGTGGGTGAGGGAGAAGTGGACCCCGACGCTTCAGGACCTCCCTTTATATGCAGGCAGTCATCTCCTGGGCTGGATCTCAGGAGTAAGTGGCTCCCACTCAGAGCACATTCTACACGCTGTGGTCTGAGCCCGAGTCTGGGAGAGCCCTAGAATGTTCGCATGCAGAGCTGGTGAGAGCAGGGCCCAGCCAGCATGCCCCGTGTGCCCTGCGAGGTCAGGGGTTTGATTCCATTATCTGGAGACCTGGGAGTCAGACCGTGGGGACTGTGGAACCTGGGTACCAAGAGCCACAGCAAGCCCTCCCCGTGGGCAGAGGCTTCGATTCCTCTGCTTAGGGCCACCCCCTTGAGCCTCTCACCTTGATGTTGCAGAATTGGTGGTTCTCAGAGGACACCTCGGAGACCTGCAGGGAGTAGAGCAGAGAAGGTGGGTCTCTGGGAGTGGGAGGGCCAGGCATTTCTCAGAGGCTTCCTCACCCTTGCCAGTCTGAGCAACCTTACAAAAAGGGAATTGCCTTTTCTGTCCCAACCATTCCAGGGAGCATGGGGCACTTTTGAGGGAGAACATCAGTGGTGTGCTGGTACACGGACTCCTCAGAAAAAGAAAGCACCACCACCAGCAACGACAAACTCCTGATTTTTAGTGTCTAGGTTCCCGGTGTAAACACTGCCATCATGGCTCCCACCAATGACTGTGCTTAATAACTGGCTCTCAAAATTCCTGAAAATGCAACAATCGCTCTAGAGGTCCGACACAAGTCAGCTTCAGGGTGTGATGGGAGAAGACTCACCCCAGCCGCCTCTTGGGCTCAGCCACTCCCCGATAGCTTTCACGTTTCTAGACACAGCCCCGGCCTTGAACGTTCTTTCCCTGTGCCTAGAGCACGCTCTCCTCTTGCCCAGCTGGAAACTTCCTGTGCATCCTTCAGTGTGCAGCTCACTTGGAGTGGCTGCTCCTCCTGGAAGCTTTGCTCAGCTGCTCCAGGCAGAAAAGCCACGCATGGGCCTGGTTCAGAGTTCGCCCCTGCCCTTGGGAAGCTGCTCTGGGCTTGCTGACAGGGAGCTGCCTGAGGGCAGGGAGCAGGCCTCCTCTGCTCTGCCTAACTCCTCCAGCCCCGAGGACAGGCAGACCAGATTCCCTGAGGTCAAAGTGCTTCCTTCCTGAAGATGAAGGAAACAGAACCCACCCACCCCAAAGGGCTGCAGGGCCCTGTGATAGTTTCTTTCTGGTGAGGGGTGGCCTTCACAATCATCCAAGCAAACCCCTTATTTCACAGAGAGAAGCCAAACCCGAGAGTGTGGAAATGACTCGCCCAAATTCCCATAGAGCTCGGGGTGGAGCCTGGGTCTCCAGCTGCCCATCCCGCACTCACCACTTCACATCACGTTGCTTCTTTGGCGGCAGCCGAATTCTGTGTCCTCCACAGTGCTGGATGTGAACTACTTGTGAGGATTATTTTAGGAAGTACACTGTGAGAGGGATACTTCTCTTACAATTTTTAAAAATCCTCTGATTGCAAGGAGAAAGCCTTACATCATGGTTATTATATCTTTAACATCTCTCTAACACTAACCCCTCCTCCTTTTTTTTTTCTTTTAACAATCTGAGAAAGAAAGAGATGGAGAGCATGACAGAGAAGAGAGAGGGAACAAGCAGTGGATGCAGCTCAGGCTCAGAGTCTCACTTAGCAGACAAGAATCTGGCAAGAATTTAATTACATTGCTTTTGCTTTCAGAGTTATCTTCTGTTTACAGCACGTGATAACTGGTTCTTCATTAAACATGGCAATCTAAAGAGTCCTTTTAATATACAATTAAGTTGAAAGTAATGTTGGGATGTAAGGAGAAAGATTCAGTAGGAAATATTACCTGTGGGAAGTAAATATGGCAAAAGTTATGAAGGTGCCATGCAGGTAACTGGCTACAGAAACACCACATGGTGTGTGGTCCTTCCTGAATGTGGCCTGCCCTTGAGGCCTTCTCTTCCAAGTTCCAAGGACCCACCCACCGTTCCTGGGAAGAAAAATCATTGGCTCTCCAGGCTCCAGCCCCAGCTTCCTCAGCCTTACCTGGCCCAGGTGCTTGGCTGCAGCTTCCCACTGTGCCTGAACCCCGTCCTTTGTCCCCACGTACAGCAGGCCTTCATCCCCCTGCTGTGGAGTTCCCTTGGGCCTGTAGGGCATCATCTCCACAGAGACATTCTTTTTGGAGGCCATTGCACCTTGTGCCGAGGCTCCAAAGTGGATGGGCTGGGGCTGCAAAACCTGTTTGGTTTCAAAAAAAACAGTGCTTTGTGATTTAAACCTCGAGATCAGTACGTGTTAGTTTTTTTTAAAGATTCAGCAACTACAGAACTTTAAAGAATAATGTAAAAAAGTACCCTGAATTGGAATGCACAACTTCTCTAAACATTTTCTCTGTCCTTCCAGATCTTTTTCACACACACACACACACACACACTTTCACATAAATGGAACATACTGCTTTGTAATTTGCCTTTTTCACTTACTACATCTTGACCAGCTTACGTGCTAATGCATATACATTCACATAGTCTTTTTTAGGCAACTTACTATTCTATTAGACGGGCGATCAGTAATTTATTTAACTGCTTCCCTATTGTTGGGCATTTTGGTTATCCTCATTTTCTCATTCTTGTTAACAACCACGGTATATTATATAAATTAGCTCTTTCCCTTTACCCTAACTGATTTTCTTCATAGCATTTATTACCACGTGACACATTTTATATCTATTTGTATCTATTTGTGCATTTACTGTCTATCTCCCCCTCCGGAAGGGAAGCAGTGCCAATGGCTATTTTGCTTTTTGACATATCTCCAGCATCTAAAACAGTACCTGGAAAACAGTAGATCATGTGCTCAATAAATATTTGCTAAATGAATGAATGAACAAGGTGGTTAATGTACTTCTTGTGTACGTGTCCAATCGCTTTTTAGGCTAAATCCCTAAAAATGGCATTGCTGGGCCATTGGGTATAGATATTAAAACGCTGACACATATAGCCAGACTGCCCACCAGAAAGATTGTGCCAGTTTATTCTTTGGCAGCAGTGCTTAAGACCCCAAGGAAACACCGCTTTTAGTGTATCTACCCACCAATCTCAGTGTGCCAAGACTCGCCCGGTTTTGAAAATCAGCTTTCTCCTTTGGGAGGTTTCCCCTGATTAACAGGAGAGAACATTCTGCTTGTTTCTACCTACCTCTCCCTTTCCCGGAGCTTTGCTCTTGGCACTGTTCTAGAAGGTCCCTCTGGTCTGACCAGGCAGGATTCCACATGGTTTTCTCCCCTGGATTTTAAATTCCACAGGGGCAAGGCAGGGCTGGGCCAGGCCTGGGGGCTTTCTTCCTTTGACCTTCAACAGGGTTTCCACATATTAACCTGTCTCCCGGCTTAGTGGTACAGCCTACTAAGTGTTCAGGCACCCTCAGCCTCCTACATCTATCTCTGCTTCCTCAGGTGCTGCTCTGATCTCTCTGTATTCCTCCCAAACCTCCCAGAACCTGTATTCACTCCAGGCACTGCCAGATTGTCAATCTTGTGCAGTTCATCAGGGCTCAAAAGATAACAATGCTGATGGTGATGGTGATGGTGATGGTGACGGTGACGGTGATGGTGACGGTGACGGTGATGGTGATGGTGATGGTGACGGTGACGGTGACGGTGATGGTGACGGTGATGATGGTGATGGTGATAATGAATGATCCCTCTGGACCATGTTGCTCAGTTCACTCAATACTTGACATGCATTCATTCCATTGGTCCTTAAAAGAATCATGTGTAAAAGGAAAGCCAACGGTGGGAAGCACGTCCAGTTTGTAGATGAACAACTTGAGGCTCAGCAAGGCTAAAAGATGTGCCCAAGGCCATACAGTTAGAAAGCGTTAGAGCAGAGAGGTGGGGGTGGGTTTTTCTCATCTCAATTTCCCCCTCTTTGCATTGTCCCCTTCTTTCTAACGGAGCACACTGGAGCATGGAGGATCTGGCGTGGCAGGCTTCAAGGAGGCTCTTGGGCCACACAGTCTGTAGTCGCCTCGCCCTGTGTGCCACCGTCCAGCCGGTGTACACGACAGCTGCTCAGTGGTTGCCAACTAAGAAGGCAACTTGGTCCCCATGGGTTTGTCAGCATGGTGGAGTCTTACTTCCCTGCAGTCACTTCCCTGCGGCTTCCTCTGACTCCTTCTCATTTTCAAACTCCTTGAGAGCCTCTCAGAACCATAGCCCACTGGGTCTGATTTCTTGAAGGACTCATACAGCCTGTTTATCCACTGGCCCTGGGACCGGGTGTGTAGCCAGATGGTGTCTGAGCAAGAAACAGGGAGGGAGGAAAGGGTTCAGCACCGTTCTCCAGCAGGGACAGGCCCGTCTCACTTGGAGGGATTGGGACTGGGTGTCCGCCCCTTAAGTCCTCCTTTGAATGTCCTTCCTCAGGCCCAAACTAGCAGCCACAGTCATGGGACTTGGAGAACCGAGCTCTCTGTGCAGACCTGGCAATCTTGCTCGGTGAGGTCAACCTAAGGGTTCAGTCTCCTTTGCCAAGGCAGGGGTCAGAGTGCCCCTGAGCACACTGGGAGCTCCCTAGGGGTGGGGGCCAGGCCTCCTCCATCAAGCCAGGGTCTCACCAAGGTGGGGACCCTCTCCCTCCCACATTCAACCGGGTGCCTGACAACGGCTCTGCACACAGTAGGTGCTCAGTCAATGGTGGGAACCACAGCTTGCACTGCCCCCAGTGTCTGGGATGCAGGGGTTGCTTACTAAGGTTCCCTGTTGAGTGGATGACTGATGGAAAAGCCTGGGGGGGCTATCCCCCTGTTGAGGGGTACCAGAAAGAACCCACATGAGAGTAAGGAGGCCCCTAAGAGATCTCCTGGTCTGGGGTTCTCATCCTTTTTCTTTTATTTTAAATCACGGACTCTTTTTGGCAGTCGTATGAAGGAAATGGATAGACTCCTTCTCAGAATAAGGTTTTTAAATACATTGAATAACATATGTAGAAATTACAAATGAAACCAATTATAATGAGACAGTTATCAAAATATATTTTTTAAAATTTTGATTTAAGAATACATGTGCGTTTTTGTTAATACATGAAATACTGAGATGCAGCAGGAGTCACATGGCCACTGGAAACGTGAATTAGCAATAAGCATGAATGATATCCGAAAGTATGGACAGCAACCGTAATGTGATATGAAGAAGAATCCATGGTTTTCATTTAGAAAAAGGCACACGGGTTGGTAATGCTACTATGGATTGTCACCTGCATTCATACCTGAAGAAAATGCTAAATTTTAGTTAGCTGTTAGCGAAAACAAAGATGTCACACTTTTTTGTCCACCTAAGTTCCTGAATGGACTGGTTGGACCCTGTGTTTACAGAGAGGTGAGGCATGCTCTCACAGCTTTGTGAGGAGGGGACTGAAAAGCCACGTGTTTGGATCCCTACTCCCATGCGCCTTCCTGGCGCTTCCTCACCCTTCAGGGTGCAAAGAGGCAGGAGGGCTGGGCTATGCCCTGTCGCACAGATGCACCCTGAACTGCCTCACACAGTGACTCATATGGAGAAGGTCTCTTAAATGTCAGCTGAATTCAATCAGCCGCACCTGCCAGCCTGAGTTCCACTCCTGATTCTGTAAGCCAGCTCTGCAAACAAAGTTGGAGGATTTACCAGTCCCCGTATAGACTCACTCAGCTTACTGCAGGGGACTCGGGCCCAAGATATGGGCAGATTCCAAGTTGAGACCCTGAAGAAACCCCTTCAGGAACTGGTCAAATAAATAATACATCCATAAAATAAACATGGTCATTACAATCATATTAGTATTGATACACTGGAATAGTATGCAGCCAGAAAAAGGAAAAGTTCTTCTTTTAAAAGAACTGACATGCAAAGATTTTCATGACATACTATTCACGGAGAAAAAGTGGGCTTCAAGACAGTGGTCCCTTGCATGCAGAATTATCTCTGCTTCTGATTATCCATTGAGATGTATCGAGATCTGGAAGGCAATGGTTTTATTTTTTTTCTTTTTAAAATTTTATTGGAGTACAGTTGCTTTAAAATGTTGTGTTAGCTTCTACCGTACAGCAAAGTGAATCACTATACGTATACATACTTCCCCTCTTTTTTGGATTTCCTTCCCATTTAGGTCACCACAGAGCATTGAGTAGAGTTCCCTGTGCTATACAGTAGGTTCTTATTATGGAATCTATTTTATACATAGTATCAAGAGTGTATATGTGTCAGTCCCAATCTCCCAATTCATCCCATCGCCCCTTTCCCGCTTGGGACAATGGATTTCTTTGGGTGGAATTACTTGAGGGATTTTAATTTTCTTCAGGACATGTTTCTATACTGTCTGAATTTTCCGGAAGCATATCTGTTCTTTACAAAACAGCAAAGGAAAGAAAAATAGGAAGAAGATAACCCACCCTCTCTAACCCATACCCTCACCCCATTGTACATCCAGGCCACCACTCACATGATTCCAGGGCGGGTGTTGTGCAGCTTCGGGTGGGGAACCCTGGACTTGGGTCTGTGCCCTGAGCTGAGGGAGCTGGGCCAGGGGGTGGGAGGCATCCTGAGTGAAGCTACAGCTTTTAATGGGGGTGGGTCAGAGAACCCTGGCAACCAGAAGCCTTTACTCCTCATGAAGCCGAGCAAGGGTCTCGCTGTAACAGGCCACGCAAGGCCTCCTCTGTCAGAAGCACCGCTTGAGGTGGGAGGGCCAATGCCTGGCCAGGAGGTCAGAGGTCCAGCTTGTGGCCCGACCAACAGCTCAGGACCAGAAGGCAGGCCCACGCATGGTTGTGAGTCAGAGGACAGCTGGGCAAAGGGAGGGTCCGCTGAGCGGTTCTATGGGTGCTGGGTATCCAGAAGGAATAGGGATAGTCCAGGGATGGGGGAGAAGGGTGTGAGGGCTTCTGCTGCCTTGACGCCCCACAGGGCTCATGCCCACATGGAGTGTGGAAGCCTGGCTTCCTGTCACAGCCCCTTTGGAAACGACCTGGTCCCCTCTCCTCTGAGCCACTGTTCCTCCACTTAAGACCCCTGCGGGCTCCCAACCGCCTGCGCCATCCTGCGTTCCACTCTGCGTTCGAAGTCTTTCACAGTCCCACCCTGGTTCTCATCGACTTTGCCAGCCACTCTTGTCTGCCTTTGGTCCCTTCTCTGACCCTCTCTCCCGCCCCCAGTGCCCCTACTTCCTTCCTCCCTACTCCACCCAACTCTCAGCCCAAACTGCATCAGACCCTCCTACGTTTCCACGTTTTCATGCTTCTCCCTCCGCCTCCACCCCCTCGTCCTTCCCTACCTAGGATACTCCTACGAACCTTTCAAAGTTCAGCTGAAATGCCACCCTGCCCACTTCCCCCACCAGGCCAGGCCCTCCCCTGTGACCCTCACGGCAGCCAGTACAGCCCGAAACAGCCCATTCGGCCAGCATCTGCACAGCTGCCTCTGTGTTCCAGAGGGAGCTTTGGGAGGTCGACTTTGTGTGTCTGGTCTTGTTCACCTCTGTGTTCCTGGTTCCCAGCCTTGCTTGGCACACGGCAAGGACTCAGTAATACCTGCTGAGTGACCAGTGGGGCTGGCGCAGGCCTACCTTTCTGCTCGGGAGCGCTGCTGATGGTGAAGGGGTGCCACTTGTGGTGCACGATGGTGGGGGTGTTCAGTTACAAGTAGTCGCCAGGCCTGTAGTGGAAAGGAGGAGGCTTCTTGATGAGGAGATGAGTGACTTGGGGAGAGAAGAAAGAGACCAGGGTCATCTGTGCAGGCCCAGAGCTGCCAGGGGCCCCAAGGCCAGAGGATGGAGGCTGAGCCGTCTTTCTCCACCATAAGCCAGGCTGGCCCCAGACATGAGACTCTTCTGTGCCTATGAGTGGGGTCTCGCCCCTGCAGCACATCTGCCAACCAGGGGGTGGGCAGTGATCAGAGAAGGGAAGCCAGGCTGTGTCTGAAGTGGGGCTCATGGTGTGATCCCACTTCTTGTGGTGTAAATATTGCTTCTCAGTGGCCCTCCCCCTCTGTGAAGCCCCTGACTGCTCCAGCCCCTTTCTTGGAACTTCTGTGGCACTTGGGTGGTATTCCAACCGTGAACGGGCATCTCCCCAGGATACAACTGCCTCCCGGCTAGTAGCTTCGGTATATTGAGCACTTACTGGGTGCCAGAGCTGTGTGGAGCTCTTTTAGTGCTATCTCTAGTCCTCACAGCGACTCTCTGAGATGAATGTCATTCTTTCTCCACTTTATGCAGGAGAGGCTGAGGCTCAAAGAGGTTAAATGACTTGCTCAAGGCCACCAGCTAAGAAACCACGGGATTTGAATCCAACCACTCTGTCTGATGCCAGGGTCTAGACAGAAATCTCGGCCTCTTAGTCAACTTCCATGTCCTCACTCTCAAGCTGTCCAGAGTCAAACCGACCCAGAACTGCCTTCCCTTTCTCCAAAAATGGCCCCAGTTACTCAGGCACCTGCAAGACAGCCTAGACGCCTTCCCCACCTCAACCGCAAATGCAGCCAGTTACCTCTTGAGTCTTTCTGTGACATGGCCCCTCCCCACCCAGTTCAAGGTCAAGGCTCTCGTGAGCTCTCATCTACATGTATGCAACAGCCTCCCCAGTGGTCCCCTCCAAGCCATCTTCTACAGAGCGAGTAAAGAAATGCAGCTGGAGTATAAAGCACCTCAATACCACTGCCCACCCATCCCCCACCCTGCTCAAGGGTTCCCTGTGGCCTGCAGAGTAAGGTCACTCACGCTTAGGCCCTGCCCACCCCTCCAGCTTCTCCCTGGCACCTTGGCTCCAGCTGTGCCAAACTACCTGTAGTCCCCCAAGCACAGCATGCCCTTTCATAACTCTGTGCCTTTGCCCATGCTGTTCCTTATCCAAGCAAACCCTTCCCTGTCTTGTCTATCCAACAAACTCCTATTCATCTTTCAAAACCCTGAAAAGGCAGCTCCCCTCTCATTCTGAAGCTTCTCTGATCTCTCAAAGACAAAGAGTTTTAACACCTCCTGGGATTCTTCTTCTCTTACCAACACAGCCCTGCACTGTAACGGAAGGGCTGCTATCCTACTAGCCTGTGTGCCCATGGAGAGTGGGACAGTGCCTAAGCCTTCTCTGCACCTCTGTCACCTAGTGCAGGGCCTGCCACCTTGTAGACACTAATATATACTTACTGAAGGTATTCTGTGTACACTGGCCTTTAGTAGTACCCTGCTTACCTGTCATTCCCCTTCCAGAAGTGTCACTCCCGGAGGGCTGGATCGAGTCTTGCACTTTGCTTATCTTCTCCACTGTGATGGGGCGCCCCATTTCCTTGGGAGCGGGGGTCTAACAGAGTGCTCAGCTTCTGCACCCCACCACCTGTGACTCCCCTTGGCTCGTCAGGCCCCCTTTGCACCTTGGAAGGGAGGAGATTGACTTCCACGATGCACAGGGCCTCCATGAGGGATGCGGCCAGGCCGACGGTCTTCTCCAGGAAGAATAAGATGCCAGGGACCAGCAGCTACTTCCAGAAGTTGGGCCCATGCAGACATGGGAGGTAGGACAGGTGGGTCCAATAGAACACCTGTGGGGGTGGGGAGTAAGTTGCCAGAGTCAGGGCCAGGGGGTGGAACAGAGCCAAGGTTCACGGCCATCCTTAAAGCCAGGACTGTGCCCAGAGCCTTGGCCACACACACCCTCTCCTGGGAACAGGCTTGGGTAGGAGGTTGGGGGTGGGAAGCTTCGTTGCCTCTCTGTTCTGGGGGCTTGGTCCAGAAAGTCTGTAAGGGAAGATTCTTGGCGCTAGTGGCAAACATCTGGAACATCTGCCTGGGGGTGTTCTGGGCAGAGTGAACTGCACCCTCTGATGGGCTCATGAGCATCAGTGTCTCAGCCCACTGACCCTTTCTCAGCGGGAAGGAAGGAAAGACAGCAATGGTGTTCTGGGAGTGGAGGAGAAAGAGCAAAGCCCTGCGTTGTTTTTTGTTTTTTTTTGCGGTACGCGGGCCTCTCACTGTTGTGGCCTCTCCTGTTGCGGAGCACAGGCTCCGGACGCGCAGGCTCAGCGGCCATGGCTCACGGGCCCAGCCGCTCCGCGGCATGTGGGATCTTCCCTGACCAGGGCGCGAACCCGTGTCCCCTGCATCGGCAGGCGGACTCTCAACCACTGCGCCACCAGGGCAGCCCAGCCCTGAGTTTTAATACCTGCTGTGCTACTAGCTGTGGGACCTTGGCCTGGTAAGTTACTTTTCCGAGAGTCAGATTCCTCATGGGTCAAATGAGGATGCTGATTCTGACTTCAGAGGATCATTGCTGGCCCCAAGTAGGTGCCGTGTATACATATATATATATATGTCTATTTCTGATGTGACCAGATCAGTCCAAGGGACAGTTCCGATCTCCCAACCAAATCCTCTGTGACCTCTTATATCTCGAGGAGGCTAGAGAGAGGAAAGCAAAGCTAGACCTAATACTTTTGGACTGACCATGTGCCAGGTGTGTGTAGTTATTGGCTTCACATGTATTATCTCATTTAATTCCTAAAATATTAATAACTTCAAAGGTAGAGAATTATAGCTCCGTTTTACAGATGATGACAATGAGTGACCCGTAAGTAGTGGGGTGGGGATTAGAATCCCGAAAGCCTGTGTTCCTTCCCCTCCCTGTGCCCAGTTTAATCCAATTAGAGCAAGGGGATAAGCCAGCAAAAAAGCCAGAAGAATCTTCTAGAGCAGAACATTTTCACTCAGCAGACATAAACTACAGCCCAATGGCAGAACCCCAAATCACATGTCCATAGTACGCAGACCGCCTGGACCTTCCTGGGCTCTGGAGTAATTTAGAGGGAACGCAGCATGAAATGAAGTTGGGAGCCCAGGATGGGACAGGCAAAGGGGCAAGGGCTGGGGCGCCTCAAAGTGGCCGCTCCTGCGGACACAGGAGCTGGAGCAGGCGGACATGAGAAGCAGCAGTAGGGCTTCCCTGGTGGCGCAGTGGTTGAGAGTCCGCCTGCCGATGCAGGGGACACGGGTTTGTGCCCCGGTCCGGGAAGATCCCACATGCCGCGGAGCGGCTGGGCCCGTGAGCCATGGCCGCTGAGCCTGCGCGTCCGGAGCCTGTGCTCCGCAACGGGAGGGGCCATAGCAGTGAGAGGCCTGCGTACCGCAAAATAAATAAGTAAATAAATAAAAACAGATGAGAAGCAGCAGTAGCAGCGGGGCCACACCGGTCACGGAGGCCGAGCCGTGGACCTAGCCAATGCCAGGCCTCGTGGTGAGCAGCAGTTCCCCAAACTGGAAGGGGCTGGCCTCGGACTGAGCCCGGAGTGCTGGAGACGAGCACAAGACAAGCTCTGCACACTGTGCTTTCCCTTTGGGGTTCCCACCCCTCCCCCTTCTCTGCCCATCGGGCCGGCAGGACACACAGGGGCAGGATAACCGAGTGGTTTGTGGAAAGCCCAGGTGCCCACCCCCCAGCCCCAGGCTACTCACCGAAGTTCACCACATGGGCCACGGTGTGGACGAGGGAGAGCCCGACCACCACGTAGCCCATAAGCTGGTGGAACTGGAGGTCGTGGCGCAGCGGCAGGACCTGAGCCAGCCACGTGGCCCACAGTCACGCGAGGCAGCGTCTAAGCATCAGCACCTGGCCGGGCAAAGCGGTAGAGAGCCCCACCTGGCTCGCTCTCCGCCCTGTCCTCTGCTCCCCAGCAGCTGTTTCCCTACCCTGAGCCTGTTTCGCTTCCTAAACGGGGCCCTGTCACCACCTCCCCTGCCCCCAAGCCTCCGCTGCTCCCCTAGGTCCAAAGCTGGGGGTCTGCAAAGTAGGATCTCCAGAATTGGCGGAGAAAAATTGTTACAGAATGTCTGCTGGTATCACTTTTATCTCAACACGTGGGAAGCACATAAGCTTTCACTAATATTTAGTATCTGTGTAGACATGGTGCCCTCATTTAGTCATATGTCAGACTGGCACCATGTCACATGTGGTTCTCGAGATGTCCTGGGGGCAGATGGGGCTTTTCAAGGGGTTTATGATGAAGGTCCCCTCACTTGCTCGTTTACTTCAAAGTATTTATGCATGCCCTGATACGTGGATTTGCAGATTACATTAACTGCTTTTAAGTAAGCTAACCATCCCTCAGCAGGGACAAGTAGCTTAAAAAGATTCCCTACAGAGAAAATAAAGACTGAAAATAGTGTTAATAAGGCAAGAGCAAGCGACCACAAAAATGAGCCACATGTCTCCCACCCCTGGTGTGAATTCTTTGTAGCCAGTTATGAGGTTATAAATAAAACCCACTCTAATAAGAAGCTGATATAGTCAGGAGGAGTATTTGGACTAGAGATGTGCAGCCCTGATCATTAAGAATGAACCTTGGGACTTCCTTCGCGGTCCAGTGGTTAAGACTTCGCCTTCCAATGCAAGGGGGGCGGGTTCGATCCCTGGTCGGGGAGCTAAGAACCCAAATGCCTCGCGGCCAAAAAACCAAAACATAAAACAGAAGCAATCTTGTAAAACATTCAGTAAAGACTTTAAAAAATGGTCCACATCGAGAAAATCTTAAAAAAAGAAAGAAAAGGATGAAGCTTGCCTTATAGTTATATTGTGCCATAAACCTATTGGCTAATGATAATAGGGCATGCATATAATTATAAGTAAGTGAGCATATACTGGGTAATTGGGAGGGGTTTTTGTTTTCTGTTTATTTTTGTTGTGTTTTATTTCATTCCACTTGCCAAAGTGCATCATCAAATACACTTGGAGACCTCAGTCTCTGATCCCCAGGATCACATTCTGGCATTCAAGGCCTCTGGAAGTATTCTCTTTCTGGTTAGAGCTCTGCACAGGAGCCAGCCCACCTCCTCTGGGTCCACCATAGGATTATTGTGAGGATGAGATGGAAAGTGCTTAGCACTGTGACTTGTACATAGTAGCACACAAAAATGCCAGCTATGTTATTTACCTGCTGTGTGACTATGGACAGCTCACTGCCCCCTCTGAGCCTCAGTCCCCACCACTGAGTGTTGGCCCAGTTGAGTTCTAAGGTGCCATCCTACCCTGACACTGCAGGTGTCCACGTGTGGGTCCTTTTGTCTAAGAGGAGCCTACATCAGTCCCCCACCCGCTTCCCTGCGTTGTGCCCGCAGAAACCTACCGCGATGAAGCTGCAGTCAAAGTTGAGGCATTGGCCGCAGCCCTTGGCCACCATGACACTGGCGCCGAGGGGCCGGTGCACACTAGCTGCCAGGGCAAAGAGCAGCACGTGGAGGCCCACGTAGGCGGCCAGGTGGCTGTGGTGGTTGTGCCAGTAGGCAGAGGTCAGCTGGCGAGGACAGTGTCGGGGCGGCCCGGCGGCGCAAGGAGTCAGCCAGTGGGCAGCACTGTGAGAGAGGGCTCCACTCAGAAGGCCGCAGTGTGGCGGGGACCACCAGAGTCTGAACCTAGAGACCCCATTCCCTCTGCGGCCCACTAACTCTCAGGGAGCCTCGTGGCAAACAGGCCAGCTTTCTTTTACACCTGGAAACAGAGAGGTCAAGTGACTTGCTTACAGTCACACAGCTAGGTGGAACGGGGATGAATCTCTGGTCTTTCGGATGCCACACGCACGACTTTTTTTTTTTAACTACCTCTCCTTACCTCCCAACTGGGGGCGGGGCGGGAGAGGTAATCGAAAAGGATGGAAGAATCTGAGACATTTTGTGATAACCCACGAGAAAGTTAATACACAAAAAGAATGAACTACAAAACTGGCACTGTTCAGAGCTTGGAGTCAGACAAACTTGGGTCTGTTGTTACACCCTTTTTATATTATTTTCTCCACAGCGCTTATCAAATTTGTATTTATCTAGTTATGTACTTGTTTACTGGTATCAATTACCTGTCCCTCAGTCTGGAACGTAGCCTCAGCAGAGCTCTGCCATTACTGAGAACAAGACTTGGTACATAGTAGCTGCTTAACGAAGTTGAATGAATAACTGTCTTTGCTAACTATCTGTGTGATCCTAGGCATGTTACCTCAGGTGAAGTAACTTTAATGTCCTTTTGTAACTTCATTCCTTTTGAAACGTTAATTTCCTTTTCCATGCTATGCACTGGTATATTTGTAAAAATGCCCAGCACTTAATATTGTGAGTTGATTCGAAAGAAACACTATAGAAAATGGACACATGACAACAGCTGCCCTGCAGTACAGACCTTTGTCCCCAAGAGAAAGCAGGCAAAGAGGGGAGGGGCTGGGCGGGGCTTATCTGGGGGCGGGGCCGACTTGGGTGGGGAGGGGTGGGGCCGGGCTGAGGGATCATCCCTGCGTTCAGGCCACACTTCGCGCCTGGTGTCTAATCCCAGCACTGGCAGTGCACCTGCACGAGATAGGGCGGTACCTGATGGTCAGGTTCTCCATGACCCCGGGGAAGCGCCGCAGCTCGTCTCGAAGCTCATCGAAGGTGATGGCGCCGCTGCAGTCCTTGTCCACCAACTTGAAGAGCGCCAGAGTCAGCTGGTCCAGCTTCTCCTCGGGCAGCGAGATGGCGCTCTCACGCAGGCACGACAGCAGCACGATGCGCAGCTCATCACATTGATGGAGCCGCTCCCTGGCCCAAGTGAGGATGACGCCAAGTGGGGGTCTGCCCCCAGACCTCGCTCTGTACTTGCAGACTCGCCCTGCCTTGCACAACCATTGCATCAATGGTTCGTTCACCTTCATCTTTCTGCCAAGCAACTCTCTTTAGGAGCATAGACCAGGCAATCGAAGGACATATGGCACCTTCCGCTCACAAACCTTCCATGGCTCCCTGTTGCCAAGCTCAACAGAGGTGAACATCTCCCTAAGCATGGAGAATCTTTGGACTCAGGGCATGCCTTCCTCCAGAATCTGCAGCCTCCTCTCTAAGTACCACTCAACTTCCAAGATCATCTGCCCAGAAGATACACTTGCTTACTTAATCTATAAGGAGCTACGTGCCCAGAGCTTCAATTATCCAGAGGCGAATTGTATATGAGGTGGTGGTGAAGGAGTTCCCTGTTGTTCCCCGACTTGTAGCAAACTTTGCTCATCCATGTTGTCCTGAGAGGCTGCAGCTGGGCCCTCAAGTCCAGCCTTGTGGCCTTATGTGAACATGAGTGGCTAAGAGTGCCATGAAAAGGAAGCCAGAAGTACTGTCGACCCTCCGAAAGGTTGCGTTCTGCATCCGTGGATTCCATCCGCGGTTGGTTGAATCGGCGGATGTGGAACCCACGGATACCGAGGGCCGACTGTATGACTCCACTTTATCTACGGGACTTGAGCATACACGGATTTTGGTATCCACTGGGGTCCTGGAACCAATCGGAGAAACTACTGTACCAACTGAGATGAGATTTGGGGCACTTTTTTTTCCTGTATATATTTTCATTCTTCATGAGCAGCAGGACTTGCGATTAGTGATTTCTGGGCCTGTTTTGGATATAGACACACCTGAGTTAGCAACATGCTTCTGCCCCTTACTGTGTGATGGTGGGCTATAAGTCCTTTAGAGTATTGCACCTTACTTTGCTCATCTCTAAAATGGGGCTAATTATTCCTCCCTTTCAGAGTTGGTTCAAGGATAATAGATAATTATAAAGCACTTAATGCAGTATATGGAAGACGGTAGCTGCATATAAATGAAAAGTCTTATTGGTATTGTGATCATCACTTGGGCCAAAGTCAAAGTCTGTAATCACGTACAGAGTCTAATATGCCACTCTCCAGCCATACCTCCCGTCCTTCAGTTTTCCTAGTCAAGAGCCAGCATGAAGCATACTTTAAAGAAAACCTTAGCAAAGCTCTGCCAAGAAACTCATGCACCCTGGACCAACTTGCTTCCTATTGCACTCTTCAGGGTCCGTGTAGCCCCCAGGAGTGGTCTGAGACTTAGCCCGTTTGAAATGACCTATGGGAGGCCTTTTCTTACTACTGACATTCTACTGGATGAGGACATAAACCAGGCCCTGAGATATACTATTAATCTAGGACAAGTTCAGAAGGCAATCCAGGACTATGCCCACAAGACGCTGCCAGCTCCCACTAAAAATACAGAGGAAGGAGCAGTTCCTTCACAAATAAACCCCGGGGATCAAGTTCTTCTTAAAACCTGGAAAGAGGGGGTCCCCCCAAGACCAACTATTGCACAGGATGGGTTGAAGCCTTCGCCACCCAATCTGAAAGGGCTATGGAAGTCTTTAAGTCCCTTTTAAAAGAAATACTTCCTCGGTTTGGACTTCCAAAGTCCCTGCAGAGTGATAACAGGCCCTCTTTTTATAGCCAAAATCACACAGGGGTTCACAATGGCCTGTGGGCGCTCTGACCGCATCCAGAGCGCCCATCCCTCCCCGCCCCCTTCACACCCTCTCATCCATTCAGCTTTATACTCTCCTTAGCCAATTTCAAATCCAGGGTTCTCCTTCAGAATTATTGTTGTGCACATTTTTATTCCTTATCCCTCTGTCCTTCTATTACACTGACCCTAAAAATATCTCATCCCTAGGTGAATTCCAGCTACCTGTTTTCTCCTTTGCTGCACCAGGGCAGCTAAGTGAACATTGCTGAAGAAAAGCACCTAAGAGAGCAGGAAGTGTCTGATCCCAGCCATGGCAAGGCCTTCAACTTGCCCGCAGTCCTCTCATGCTTCTCTAGCATGGTCATAGTCCCGCTGTCTGCCAAGACCACTTCTCACCTCCATGCCCATCTAGTCCCTGCCTGGCTCTCAGAGAAAACTGGAACCCCTGGAAGCGAGTGCCCTCTAGTTCCTGCCTTGAAACTACAAACCTCCTCTCACCTGCTGTCTTCTTCCCCACCTCTGTCTACAAGGAGGAGGTGAGTGTGCTGCTTCCTCCTGTCACAGGCCAACCTCTCCATCTGAGGTTGTTGATAAGCCCCAGGTGTGGGCCAAGCTTGGTGGTCAGAAAGCAGTCAGTGAAGAGGGTCCCATGGAGATTGGGGTGGGGCCTGAGGAAGATGCTCCGGAAGCAGGTACAGTCAACTGCCCATGTAGTGGTGGTGGTGTGGGTCAACTTGGGAAGTGGGTTCCAAGAATGAGGTCTGGCTAGACTGTCAGGCGGGAATGGGAGGTAGAGAAACCCCATAGGCCAGAGGGCCTTGCCCAGGAGCAGATCTGCAGCTGGGTTGAGTTTTCAGGATGCAAATCCAGCCCTGTGACTCCCCTGCTCAATGCTCTTTAATGGCTCCCCATTGCTCGTTGTACTGAGACTCCAAACCATGGCCCCTGGGGCCTGCCCCGTCTGGCCTCACCAACTTCCCCAGTCTCATTGGGTGCCTTTTTCCCACTTCAGCCTCCCTTCCTTTGATGATTCTGGGTCTTTAGACACCCTTTAAGCCACAGAGTTGTCAAAGAATGAAGGTCATTGCAGTGTCACTTACAATGCCAAAAAACGGAGTGGGGAACAATGAAATTCTCCCTTTTGGAAATGGGGTTTGAGTAAATAGTAATAAATAACAGCTGACACCTGTAAAGGTGGTACCCCGAACTAGGCACTTTCCTGAGTTTACATAAGTTAACTACTTTAATCCTAGCAACCTCACGAGTATGTGCTGTTATCATGGTCACTATCTTTATGTGACACGTGAAGAAATTAAAGCAGGGAGAAGTTAAGTGACTTGCCCAGGGCCACATGATTAATAACTGGTGGAGCTGAGATTTGAACCCGGGTAACCTGGCCTCAGAATCAGAGACCTTAGAGTATATACTAGATGATTCTATTTATTTGAAATTCTAGAAATGGTATGGTCATAGAAAGTGGTGGAGTGGGAGGCATTGATAGCAAAAGGGGAGGGAACATTTTAGTCTAATAAATACGTTTTCTTTCTTGATTGCAGTGGTTGTGGTTTATACAGATGTATGAATTTGTCAAAGCTCATTGAACTCAACTCTTAAAATATTGTATTAAATATTTCAATAAAGTTAATTTTACAAAAAGAAAAAAGAAAAGAATCAGAGACCTTAACTATTAGGCTGTGCTACATGGAACATAGGACACAGACGTACAGTGGGATACGATGCAGCCACTACAGATGAGGCTATAACAACATTGAGTTACCACTTCACACCCATTGGGATGGCTATGATCAAAAAAACAGAAAATAACAAGTGTTAGAGAAATTGGAACCCTTATGCATTGCTGGTGTGAATGTAAAATGGCATAACCACTGTGGAAAAAGAGTATGGCATTTCCTCAAAAAAAAGAATTGCCCTGTGATCCAGTAATTCCACTTCTGGGTATATGCCCAAAAGGATTGAAAGCAGCGTCTTGAAGAGATATTTGTACACCCATATTTATAGCAGCATTATTCATAATAGCCGAGAGATGGAAGCAACCCAAGTGTCCACTGAAAAATGAATGGATAAACAAAATGTGTTATATACATACAATGGATAATATTCAGTCTTAAAAAAGAATGAAAGCCTGTCATATGGTACAACATGGGTGAGCCTTGAGAACATTATGCTAAGTGAAATAAGCTAGTTGCAAAAGGACAGCTATTATGTAATTTCACTTATATAATTTACCTACAGTAGTCAAATTCTTGGAGGAGGGGGAATAGGGAGTTATGATTAGTTGGTACAGTGTCAGTTTGGAAAAATGAAAAAGTTCTGGAGATGGATAGTGGTGATGGTTGCCCAAGAATGTGAATTTACTTGATGCTTCTGAACTATACACTTAAAAATTGGTTAAAGTGGTAAATTTAATATTATGTATATTTTACTACAATAAAAATGATATTATAAAGCAATACAGTCTTACATGAACAATTGTTTATATTGTTTAGTCAAAAAAAGCAGTGTATATAGTATAATCCCATTTTGTTTTCTGAAAAAAGTGGATGGTGAGTATATGCTATCAGAAGACAGTATAGAAAAATGTTATGGGTGATTTTTGTCATAGTGGGCTATTATGATGATTATTAAAAAGCGACAAAACAATTTCTTTCTGTAAACATATAAAAGAACAAAGGAAAGTTCTGGCTTCTGCTGAGTTGAATCAAGGGCATTTGTCTCCCTGCCAGGGACCCACCTTCTTCCCCAACAAAAGGGAAGCAGAGACCAGAGACAGGGCAGGGAACCCACAGAGAGACAGAGAGAGAGCTGTCAGCTTCACCTGGAGAAAACAGCCCCATGCTGGGTAGTCACTGAGACAGGCCGATTCCCTTTGTCCCCACTACTGAGTCCTGCCCCTGCCCCACCTCACAAAGGACCCTTACCGTCAACATCATGCACCTGGAAGAGAAATTGGAGTTTGTCTCTGGGACTGCCGTGGATGAGCAGGGTCCACGACTCCTGGAGCTTCTGAAGCGTGATGGTGCCACTTCCATCTGAGTCAAACAGAATGAAGAATCTCTTGGCAAAGAAGGACTGTGACCAGAAGGGGGCGGGAGATGGGCACAGGTATGGCCACAGGGCCCAGGCTTTGAATTCATTCACTGCATCTGCGTGTGTGTGTGTGTGTGTGTGTGTGTGTGTGTGTACACACTGTGGGGTGGTGGGAATCAGGGAGGACCCAGGTGCCTGAACACAGTGTGTGACCTGCCCACGAGGCCACACCAGGGGGCAGTGTCCGTGGCTCATCTGGCCAGCTGAGAGCAAGTTCGGGGTCTGGTGAGAGAACTGTTCAGCTGTAGCAAGGATGGGCTTGTGTCTGGGCCTCTGGCCCCCTTCTGGCCCCCGGGCCTGGTAATTTGCATAGGCTGTCCGTCCCCACAGTCCATTGCCCCCATCAGCCTTGCAGTCCAGACCTCTGGTGGCCCCTTACTCAACATGGGAAAAGGATCAGATCGAGGGTCCCTCAAAGGCTACTCCCAGGTCCTGTCTCATTCCCCTTGGGGTCACCCCAAGGGATAGTGAAGCCAGGAAGGACTTAGAAAATAGATACCACTTGAGTACCTGTGTCTTTGCCTTTACCTGTTGTTTGGGCTGCCTACAGCCTACATTTAAGTGTTCTTAACGTAGACTTGCTCTGAACAGCACCTGTTCTCAATTGCCGATTTACTCACTCCATTCATCATTCACCCATTCATTCATTCAACAATCATGTCTGTGCAGCCTCTGCTTGCCAGGCCTGGTGTTAGGCTCTGGAAACACAGAAATTAAGAAAACAGGCTGGGTCAGTGTCACAGATATGCCAGGCCCGGAGGCTCCCCTTGAGGCAGGGAGAGGAGTCTAAGGGCTTTGGTGTCTGACCTCAGTTCACAAGCAGGAAGTCTACTATGGGCAGTCCAACCCTGCCTTGGCTTCACTCTTTTTCCCCTTGGTCCCTCGAGTAAGGCCTTTATCACTCTCTACCATCCCAAATGGCCTTTATCTTAAGATATTTTACAGCCCCTGTTAGGCAGAAGATCTTTCTTTCCTTCCCCATATTGACTATGAAAGGAGGCAGAGCATTTAGAGTTCTAAGTAGTATCTCTGTTACCAGCAAATAAGGGGCTCTCCCATCAAAATAGGGGCATTCAAATGCTCATTGGCTTGCACCCATCGAGGACACAGGCCACCATGAGATGCCAGCCCAGAGGACACCTGGGGCGAGACTCACTCCTTCCGCCTCTCAGCTAACGTCTCCGCTGTTTGTCGGGCATGCAGGCTGTTATGGGGAAGGGCAGAGGACCTATGAAACCAAGAGAGAGGACTGGGGATGGCGTGGCAGTGCAAATGGGCCTTTAATGGATACAAATCATGGAAAAGCTTATTTTGTGGCAGGCACTTAAGTCATAGCATCACCTTTGCCCGCGAGGCTAGCAGTAACTGTGAGGGCAATAATGTTGCTTAAGATTTGACAAGCTACTGATTTCCAACTTCATGTGTTGTTTGGAAGACCCCAGGAGGCCATGGCTACCATGAGGGATGGAAGGACCCCAGTAGCAGAGACAGAAACATCCTCTGGCCCTGCTTAAAAGTGGAGCCTCAAGCCCAGAGAAACCTGGGGAGCAACGTTTCCCTCCTTGTGAGGTACTGTGTCCTGCAAAGCAGATTACTCTTCCTCTATAAAATATGAGTGCGGGGTCCCCACCTCTGGAGTGGACACTTGCCTCTTTCACGTCCAGGGCTCTTTTGAGCTCTTGCAGGTTGGTTTCCCTGTCTTATCCCGCAGTGGTCTCAAACTGGTGTGTCACCCACTGAAGCCACTTGGCGTCCTCCTCGGCACTCATGGTGCTGGCAGACAAAGGAGACAGGTTTGTCGGTTTGGGGTGGCCAAGGACTCAGGAGGACTCGTGATGGCCCCAGGACTTCTGTCTTCCCCCAATTAGGGCCTCGGACCTCCCATGGGGTTGAATCAGCTTCAGGGTGGGAGCAGTGCTTCCCCACAGCTGCTTCTTTACATCTCTAAGTCCCCGTTTCTTCCTTCCATCTGGCATTGGCCGGCCCAGGCTTAAGTCTCTTTAGCTTCTGGAATGACAGGGCCCCAGTGAGAGGGACCCCAGACTGTGGTCAGAGAATGGCCTGCTCTAGGGGTGCTATTAACATGATGACAGTGACTGTCCCACCTCACATTTTCATGGCTCTTTACTGTTTTCAAAATCCTTCCCACGCACTATTTCCTCTGGTCTCTGTTACCAAATGTAAAATACTCAACTTCTCTGAGCTTATTTCCTTCCTATGACATTTTACAGAGAGGAAACAAGCTCAGAGCACTTGAGTTATTTAGCAGAATTTATTCAGCAGGTTAGAGACAGAGCTCAACTCTGAGGCCAGTGCGTTTTCCATCACGCCCCAGAGCCTCCACCCTCTACCTGAACACTTCAGGTACAAGCCATGCCAGGACTGAGACCTCAGGGCTTGACTCTCCAGGTCCAGGGCGTATTCTACAATGTCACAAGGGCATCAGCCATCTAAACTCCTCACAGGTGGGCTAGCTATACTGTGATCGGAACAGAGGTTAGTGATGAAATGAGGACAGCACTTTCTGTGGCATCAGGACCCAGCAATACAAAATTGAGTCAATAAGTGAGAATTTGTAGCATCTTATTCTATAAATTTCCTCTGTGAGAATGGCTTTTGTCTGTATCCCATGAGTTTAATATAACCTTAAATGATTTAGCTACACTCAATCTTCATTATCTGCAGATTCCACATTTGCGAATTCATCTACTTGCTAAAATTTATTTGTAACCCTCAAATCAATACTTGCAGCATTTTTGAAGTCATTGTGGACATGGGTAAAGTGGGAATACATTTGAGTCTCCTGATGTGCATGTTCCCACCTGAGGTCAAACAAAGCAATGATGTGCCTACTTGTCTCAGCTCTCAGACTGTAAACAAATGTCCTTCCCACGATCTATTTAGTGCTGTGTGTTTCACGTTCTTGTGCTCTTCATTGGTGATTTTGCTCTTTAAAATGGCCCCCAGGAGTAATGCTGAAGGACCGTCTAGTATTCCTAAGCACAGAAAGGCTATGATCTGCCTTATGGAGAAATTACATGTGTTAGATAAGCTTTGTTTGGACATGAGTTCTGGTGCTGTTGACCATAAGTTCTATGTTAACGAATCAACAATTTCTGCTTTTAAAGGAGTCTTTAAACAGAAACACACATAAAACAAAATTATGTATTGATTATTATGTGAAAAATTTGTGCCCATAAGGTGGCAGGAACCAAACCCTGTATTTATTTTCCCTAGGAGTAAAGGTTCAGAATTTCCTCATTCAGGGTTTGTGGTGACTTTATAGAAAACAACTATCATGAAAAATGAAAATTAACTGTATTTATAAATAAAGATTAAAAATAAATGAGCTAAAGTGAAATCAATCAGAGAAAGACAAATACTTTATGATATCACTTATATGTGGAATCTGAAAAATAAAACATACTAGTGAACATAACAGAAAAGAAACAGACCCACAGATATAGAGAACAAACTAGTGGTTACCAGTAGGGAGAGGATGGGGGAGAGGAAAGATAGAGGTAAGGGATTAAGAGGTACAAACTATTATGTATAAAATAAGCTACAAGGATATATTGTACAACACAGGGAAGGTAGCCAATATTTTATAATAACTATAAGTGGAGTATAACCTTTAAAAAAATAAATGAGCTAGCTTCCATTTAAGGAACTAGAAAAAGAATAAAATACACACATACATGAATAGAAGGAGAGATTCTTAAATATAAGATCTGAAATTAAGAAGCTAAAAAGATAAAAAAGGTCAAAATGGTAAATTGATTTTAATTATGACAATGGTTTTACAGATGTATGCATATGTCAATACTCATCAAATAGTTCATTTTAATTATTGTACATCAATTATGCTTCAATATAGTGAAAAAAACAAGTCGGTTCTTTGAAAATACTAAGTGAAAAAGCATGATTAAAGAAAAAAGTGAAAAAATATAACATTAATATTGAGAAAGGCAATAGAATCCAGAAAAGGGAAGGGCTACAGAAATATAAGAGTATTGTGTGCAAATGCTTGGTGAACTTCGAGATATGAATTAATTTCAAGAAGTAACCACCTGAACACACCAATAATCATTTAAGAAATTAGAAAGGGGGTTAAATGTCAACCATTTAAAATAATGTCAGGTAGTCCCTCCCATCAGGAAGCTTGCACAAGCCTCTTAGATAGCCTCATCTACCAAAGGGCAGACAGCAGAAGCAAGAAGAACTAAAATCCTGCAGGCTGTGGAACAAAAACCACAATCACAGAAAGATAGACAAAATGAAAAGTCAGAGTACTATGTCCCAGATGAAGGAACAAGATAAAACCCCAGAACAACAATTAAATGAAGAGGAGATAGGCAAACTTCCAGAAAAATAATTCAGAATAATGATAGGGAAGATGACCCAGGACCTCGGAAGAAGAATGGAGGTAAGGATCAAGAAGATGCAAGAAATGTTTAACAAAGATCTAGAAGAATTAAAGAACAAACAAACAAAGATGAACAATACAATAACTGAAATGAAAAATGCACTAGAAGGAATCAATAGCAGAATAACTGAGGCAGAAGAACGGTTAAGTGACCTGGAAGACAGAATGGTGGAATTTACTGCTGCAGCACAGAATAAAGAGAAAAGAATGAAAAGAAATAAGGACAACCTAAGAGACCTCTGGGACAACATTAAACACAACAACGTTCGCATTATAGGGGTCCCAGAAGGAGAAGAGAGAGAGAAAGGACCCGAGAAAATATTTGAAGAGATTATAGTCGAAAACTTCCTTAACATGGGAAAGGAAATAGCCACCCAAGTCCCAGAAGCACAGAGAGTCCCATACATGATAAACCCAAGGAGAAACATGCCAGAAACATAGTAATCGAATTGGCAAAAATTAAAGACAAAGAAAAATTATTAAAAGCAGCAAGGGAAAAATGACAAATAACATACAAGGGAACTCCCATAAGGTTAACAGCTGATTTTCTCAGCAGAAACTCTACAAGCCAGAAGGGAGTGGCATGATATACTTAAAGTGATGAAAGGAAAGAGCCTACAACCAAGATTACTCTACCCAGCAAGAATCTCATTCAGATTCGACGGAGAAATCAAAAGCTTTACAGATAAGCAAAAGCTAAGAGGATTCAGCACCACAAACGAGCTCTACAACAAATGCTAAAGGAACTTCTTTAAGTGGGAAACACAAGAGAAGAAAAGGACCTACAAAAACAAACCCCCCAAAATTAAGAAAATGGTCATAGGAACATACACATCGATAATTACCTTAAATGTGAATGGATTAAATACTCCAACCAAAAGACACAGGCTCCCTGAATGGATACAAAAACAAGACCCATATATATGGTGTCTACAAGAGACCCACTTCAGACCTAAGGACACATACAGACTGAAAGTGATGGGATGGAAAAAGATATTCCATGCAAATGGAAATCAAAAGAAAGCTGGAGTAGCAATACTCATATCAGATAAGAGAGACTTTAAAATAAAGAATGTTACAAGAGACAAGGAAGGACACTACATAATGATCAAGGGATCAATCCAAGGAGAAGATATAACAATTATAAAACTATATGCACCCAACATAGGAGCACCTCAATACATAAGGCAACTGCTAAGAGCTCTAAAAGAGGAAATCGACAGTAACACAGTAATAGTGGGGGACTTTAACACCTCACTTACACCAATGGATAGATCATCCAGACAGAAAATTAATAAGGAAACACAAGCTTTAAATGACACAATAGACCAGATAGATTTAATTGATATTTATAGGACATTCCATCCAAAAACAGCAGATTACACTTTTTTCTCAAGTGTTCATGGAACATTCTACAGGATAGATCACATCTTGGGTCACAAATCAAGCCTCAGTAAATTTAAGAAAATTGAAATCATACCAAGCATCTTTTCTGACCACAACGCTATGAGATTAGAAATCAATTACAGGGGAAAAAAGGAAAAAACAAACACATGGAGGCTAAACAATACGTTACTAAATAACCAAGAGATCACTAAAGAAATCAAAGAGGAAATAAAAAATACCTAGAGACAAATGACAATGAAAAACACGACGATCCAAAACCTATGGGATGCATCGAAAGCAGTTCTAAGAGGGAAGTTTATAGCTATACAAGCCTACCTCAAGAAACAAGAAAAATCTCAAATAAACAATCTAACGTTACACCTAAAGGAGAAGAACAAACAAACCCCAAAGTTAGCAGAAGGAAAGAAATCATAAAGATCAGAGCAGAAATAAATGAAATAGAAACAAAGAAAACAATAGCAAAGATCAATAAAACTAAAAGATGGTTCTTTGAGAAGATAAACAAAATTGATAAACCATTAGCCAGACTCATCAAGAAAAAGAGGGAGAGGACTCAAATCAATAAAATTAGAAATGAAAAAGGAGAAGTTACAACAGACACCACAGAAATACAAAGCATCCTAAGAGACTACTACAAGCAACTCTATGCCAATAAAATGGACGACCTGCAAGAAATGGACAAATTCTTAGAAAGGTATAACCTTCCAAGACTGAACCAGGAAGAAATAGAAAATATGAACAGACCAATCACAAGTAATGAAATTGAAACTGTGATTAAAAATCTTCCAACAAACAAAAGTCCAGGACTTGATGGCTTCACAGGTGAATTCTGTCAAACATTTAGAGAAGAGCTAACATCCATCCTTCTCAAACTCTTCCAAAAAGTTGCAGAGGAAGGAAAACTCCCAAACTCATACTATGAGGCCACCATCACCC